TTCTCCCTCTGCTGCCCCAGCCTCTCCCTGGTCCGGACTCAGGGGTCTCCCACTGGGTTCCAGGCTCGCCTTCAGCCGGCGCGGGCTGCCCACCATCACACCGCTTTGGGCTCCCAGCATCCACATCGGCCAGCGATGGAACCTGAGTGCCTCGGACATCACCCGGGTCCTCAAACTCTACGGCTGCAGCCCAAGTGGCCCCAGGCCCCGTGGGAGAGGTGAGTGGCGTGGCAGGAAGGTGACTGGAGCCTGGAGAAGGCACCTGTGCTCTAATGGTGTCAGGGAGGGTGACACGGAGGGAGATGAGGTCGCAGGGACAGCAGAGTGAGAGCACGGGGGATTACCACAGGACGCAGAACCAGCACTTGAGGAAAGTTAACACTTACTATGACTCAGCTCTGACTGAAGAGGAACAGGGCTCACTCCCTTAGCCTAGATAATAAACATCTACCAAAAACCTAGAGCAAAAGTTCAGTGTAAAACATTAAAACAGGGACCAAGACAACTTTTCCCACTATTGTCCCATCTCCCCCACATTGTGTGGCAGTGGAGGGCCTGGGCACTGAGGTAGACCCAATGAAACTAAAGGTCCGGGGATTGGAAAGGAAGCAAAAAAATCGCTTATAATAGATGATTACATGTATTGAAAGCAACAATCTATTAACAATTTATTAGAACAAATAAGAATTAGAAAAGGTAAATACAGTTAATATAAAAATCATATTTCTGTACACCCAGTCAGAAAACACAATTGTTAGTAAACATACCATTATAATAGCAATCATAAAGGTCCCAAGGAATAAATCTGACAGTTATATCAAACATTTGAGGAAAAATGAACCTTTATTAAAATCATTAAATAATACTTAAATACAGAGAAATACACCCGTTATTGAAAGGAAGGCAAAGTTATAAAAATTCAGTCTTCCCAAATTAATCTATAAATTCCTACTCAAAATATCAATGTTGATCTTGAGAGAGTGATACATAGTTTTTTCTTTTCTTTTTTTTAAAAAGTTGGAGTCTCACTCTGTCACCCAGGCTGGAGTGCAGTGGCACAATCTCGGCTCACTGCAGCCTCTGCCTCCGAGGTTTAAGTGATTCTTGTGCCTCAGTCTCCTGAGTAGCTGGGCTTACAGGTGCGTGCTATCACACCCAGCTAATTTTTGTACTTTTAGTAGAGACAGGGTTTCACCACGTTGGCCAGGCTGGTCTCGAACTCCTGACCGCAAGTGATCTGCCTGCCTTGGCCTCCCAATTGACGGGGTGATTATAAAGTTTTTATATGAAAATACGGAAGGTCAGTAATAGCTGAGACATCCCTGAAGGAAAAACTAGAAAACTTGCCCTAGCAGATATTAGTCATGTAGTTCATGAAACGTCTTTATGTAAAGGCACAGCACTGGGGCAAGGCTAGACAATTGCCCACTGGAACCAAATTCAGAAACGGATCCCATTCAGAAGCAGAGCTTTGGTAAAGGGCCACTGATGGTCACTAGCGAAGGACAGTTAAGTTACTTGTCTTAGAGCCATTTAACATCTATTTAAGAATTCCTAACTCATGCGCAAATAACTCTGGATGCATGAAAGACACGTGTAATAAACTTTAACACGTCTAGGAAAATATACAGTAAGATCTCTTCATGACCTTGGGATAGGGAAGGATTGCTTAAATGAGATACAGCACTAACTGTAAAACTAGAAAGATTCATAAATTCAACTACATTAATTATAACTTTGTCCAAAGGCACCAAAAAGAAAGTGAAAATACAGGTTACAAGTGAAAATTTTTTTTTTTTTTTTTTTTTTTTTTTTGAGACAGTTTCAATCTTTTTGCCCAGGCTGGAGTGCAATGGTGCCATCTTGGCTCACTGCAACCTCTGCCTCCTGGGTTCAAGTGATTCTCTTGCCTCAGCCTCCCTTGTAGCTGGGATTACAGGCAGGTGCCACCATGACTGGCTGATTTTGTATTTTTAGTAGAGACGGGGTTTCACCATGTTTGCTAGGCTGGTCTTGAGCTCCTGACCTCAGGTGATCCCCCTGCCTCAGCCTCTCAAAGTGCTGGGATTACAGGTGTAAGCCACTGTGCCTGGTGTGTGTGTGTGTATACATACACACACACACACACACATTAATACAAGAACAAACCAGCTGAGCATGATGGCTCATGCCTGTAATTTCAACACTTTGGGAGGCTGAGGTGGGTGGATCGCTTGAGCTTAGGAGTTCAAGACCAGCCTGGACAACATAGTAAGACACCATCTCTGGAAAAAACTAGTGGGGGATAGTGGTATGCACCTGTGGTCCCACCTACTCAGGGAAGCTGAGGCAGAATAACTACTTGAACCGGGAGGCAGAGGTGGCAGTGAGCCAAGATCGTGCCATTGCACTCCAGTCTGGGTAACAGAGCCAGACTGTCTCCAAAAAAAACCCATCAAACAGAAAAACAGGAAGAGACTTAGCAGACATCTGAGACCAAATGGGAAACACACTAAAGATACTCAACCTCAGTAACTGAGGAAATGCGAATGAAGACTACCATACCATTCTACAGCCACTAAACTGGACACTTTAAAGGCCAATGATACCAAATACTGGTAAGGATACAGAGTGAGGAATGAAAATGCTAGACCCTATTGACAGGAATATGAGTGGCTGTAACCACTTTGGAAAACAACTTGACATCCAGGAAGACTGAAGTGTACATAACCCCGGACCCAGATTCTACTCCTAGGTCATCTTGCACACAAATGCCCTTTCCCTCCCCTCACTACCTGCTTCTGCCCCCAGCCCCAGGTAATCGCTAACCTACTTTGCCTCTCTGGATTTGCTGATCCTAGACATTTCGCATAAGTGGAACCATAGCACATTCTCTTGTGTCTGGCTTCTTAATGTTTTCAAGGTTCATCCCTGTTGTAGTATGTATCAATAACATCGCTGAATAACATTCCGTTGGATAGATATGCCATATTCACCAGTTGAGGGACACTTGTGTTTTTACTTTGCGGCTATTATGAATAGAGCTACTATGGACATTTATGCACAAGATTTTGTGTCAACATGTCATTTCTTTTGAGTATACAGCTAGAAATAGAATTGCTAGGTCCTATGATAACTCCATGTTTAACTAAGATATTCTCAATTGGATGCACCATTTTTATTCCCACCAGCGGTATACAAGGGTTCCGATTTCTCCCATCCTTGCTGACATTTGTTATCTATCATTCTGATTAGAACCATCCTACTGAGTATGAAGTAGTATCTCATTGTAGTTTTGAGTTGCATTTCCCTAGCGACTAATGTTGAACATCTTTTAATGTGCATTTTCGTCATCTGTATCTTGGGAGAATGTTCATATCCTGTTTTTCTTCAGTTGGGTTGTCTCTTCTGAGTTGTAAGAGTTCTTTATATATCTAGACACATGTCCCTCATCAGATGTTGCCCTTAAATATTTTATCACATCCTATGTTTCTTGTTTTCCCCACTTTTCGATGATGTCCTTTGAACACCAACATCTGAAATGTGGAAAGTTCAACTGACCCATTTTGTCACTCCTTTTTGGTGTCTATGATGCCTTTGCCTAACCCAAGGTCATGGAGATTTGCTCCTGTTTTCATGTAAGTCTTAGTTTCAGGTTTTACATTTAGGTATATGACCCATTTGGAGTGAACCCTTGAACAGGGTGTAAGGAAGGGGTCCGACTTCATTCTTC